GTTTTCAACAAATAGTTTTTGGTTCTTAGTGTAAGACTGTTGGATACGAAATGAATTAGAATCAAATGTTTATGCGGATTACTTAAACCCATGCTTCTTACTAAACTTTCAGAAAAAATCCCACGTTCTGCAGATGTACAATATAAATTAAGAAGCCCTATACACAAGATTTTGGATCAATTTTTAAGACTAAGAAATTTGCTTCCAGGCCCTGCTAACATGTGCTGCATGGACCGTGATACATTTCATGGCACTTTGTATAGCCGGTGTACATTTGTTGACATTTGCACGAATACATTATGAACAACTTTTTGGCTTACCACCTAATATGTTATGCGTCCTTTCCTGGTTGCTAGCATTCGGTCTAGCACTACCAACGATTACCAATGGACATATCATTATCTACGACCCCTCATTCAGGCACTGCATATGGGGAGACAGGTTTAGCTAACTTTTTTTTTATTCTATCTAACCGGTGGACAATAAGGTAATCTACATTTCTTAACTCAGCAAATAAGGTCTAAAACAGGTGCAAACATTAAAGCGAAGATTTTACTACTTTTTGAAATTCTGAGAAAAATTTGAAAGACTCAGATGCAGAACCTTAAATGATTTAACCAGAACAAGCATTTTAGCGATAGTGGCCTTAAATTCCTGACATATCTTTTGATCCTGGGGGTATTTATACCTGCATCACTGGCTTCTTACGCTTACATCCGAGTCCTCGGAATACTCTACCACAGTCCGATCGTATTTCAAAGCATTGGCTTGTATAAAAGTCGTTTCCTGGTTTATTCATTCCTACTGAGGTTAGTTAAATTCTTTGCACGTTTAGGTTGAAATTTTGGTAAATTCACGATTAACTACCCACTCTTTGATAATCTCGTTTTCCTAAAACGAGGGATTTTTTCAGTGATGCACAACTGTGAAAGCATTTTAAAAACTAATGTTTGGGTTGAAATTTTTTTTTTGTCACTTTAGGATGAGATTTTCTTTTTGTTGAATTTTTCTTTTCATTGAAATAAAGTGCTGCCTAGAATAATGAAAAGTTTTAAAACCAAGTAGCTCGAATTTGATTAAACAAGCTCAAATTAAAAAAATTTTCTTCTAGTCCATTTTATCAGCTACCATTCTATGCGATAACGATAGTCAAAGATTGGAGGAAACCGGATTCAACAGTTCCTGTTGTAATGCTATTTCTAGCATTCACGCAGTGCTTCATATCTCCGGCTCTTTACGGAGCATCTCTATTTCTCATGAAAGAAGAAGATATGGCGTTAACAGCTCGAGCTCACAAAACGCCCAATGCTCACCCTCTCACGCAACATTTATGATTTTGCCAATGATTTGTGTTTAATGCTATGCATCCAGTCCAAACATATATGTAGTTCGAATAAACATTATTTACCCGTCTTACGAATGGTTAAACCAACCAATTACCATTTATTACAAAAAGATCACCGGCAACTCTCACATCACGGAGAAATTAACGATTTTTCTTAAAACAAATGGCCAAATGGATTTAGTTAAGCAATCAAAAGATAAGGTGATAAAATATGATGAAACTGGTAATAATGATTCAATTAGTTCAACTTTAGAAGAATATCAGTTCTGACAGCACATTACCGAAAAAAATCCAACCGATTTGTAATAATTCTTTAAAAAAAAAATAATTCTTTTGCTCTTACAATAATTTTCTTTGCAGTAATTCTACATAAAAAAAAAAGATAATTTTATTAAATCGACCTAGCAAGAAATCCGAATATAAAATCATTTTAGAGAAAAATATCACGAAAAGAGTCTGAATAAAAACAGTGCAACATACGTCACCCTAATTAACCTGATGGACTTAACAGTAAGTGATAAGAATATGCGTGAGTCATGCATCACTGAGCTATACGTAAAATGGTACTTCTACTTCCCACATCCCAACTTCCTCTTACCATATCTCTACTGCTGATTAACGTGACACACTGTTCGTGAATTTTCTGTTAGAATTTTATTAATTCATGAAACGCACAAACCTGTGAATAATTGAGGGAATTTGATTGGTAATATAACTGCTTCCTTCAGTGCCTCCTTAGCTCCCTCAAGACCAGCAATATCATCCCAACTTACATTCGGTTTCTCCATAACAATAGCACCTGACAATCTTTCCTGCAGTTTTTTGTTTTCGGTATCCTTCTCAGAATCAGAATCTGAACCTTTCGCACCAGAAGCATCGTCTTTAACAGCTTTCTTTCGATCACCACCAGACTACAAAAAGATGTAAAATTTCCTGAATCTCTTCTGACCATTGCAGGAAATCCGACGTGAATAATTTGGAATATTGTGAGGCTGTAGGAGAAAATAAAATATGTGTCTCAGATGTTTGAAATAATTCTATGAAATGAATCATATGTTTCACAACATATAAATTCAGGAAGAAACGATTACCGAAAACTCTATAATAGTCATAAACTCTATCATAGTCAGAAAGATGATTAGGATCAGTTGTACTCAATTTGCTACCGCAGTTGAATAATACCACTACCATCATGCTAATGCCAGAGCGATTCGGTGGCTCTGCTGGCAATACTTCATTTTAAAAATATAACACAGATCGGCGAATGCGAAAATACCTTGTGTCGCATTTCAAGTCAAAACTTATATAAATTTTACAGCCCAACTACTTCTTATATGACTTGCTGAAAGGTTCACAAAACTTTGCCATTTTACCAGGCAGTTTTTCATAAACTTTCACTGTTACACACTGAACACAGACATCCCAAAAAAAAATCGCACATCTTTCAGATCATACGTGATCTGAAAGATTTACATCTTTCAAATCATGTCATGAAACCGCTACAGAACTCTTGCCAACAGTTCAGCGCACCTCTATTAACTAGCTATGAACATCAAAACAAACTGTAAATTTCAAATGATGGTTTCGGCAAACAAACTAAACTCAGAAATTTAAAATATCATCTCCTACTTATACCCCCACATTTCCAATTTCTTTTCACTAGTAAATAACAGAAGATGAGAAGAGTGATAAAAACTGGATTTAGGCATTTGAACTGCATTATTCTTCAAAAAAAATCAGCAAAAAATCAGTAAAAAATTACCTTCAGATATTCTTTCACTTTTTCCGCTCGATCTAAATAAGATGCACAACGCTGCCTAATTGTATCTTTTTGTTTCTCACTTTGAGCTTCATCTAAATGCATTACATTAAAGTTATGAAAAACAAAGTATTAGCGTATTCCAATGATTAGCTTCTGAACTAGTAGTACTAAACTAGTACTACTTTTTCTGAACTAATACTACTAACTCACACTTAATTGCATGGAGAAAATAATCGATTCCATGTTTATATAATCGTAATGCTTCTGGATAATTTTTTTTTTGTCTTCCTCGGTCGCTTTTGTTACCAACTCAATTGCTTTCTGCAATACAAAAATAAAAAATCACTTCGAAGATTGCTTGCTGCTAATTACTGGAAGACCGATATGGAATCCAATTTGAGATGCAAATATTTCAAGATTAAAAAATGCAAAAGCAATCTTTCATTACGACTGGAAAGCAAACATACAATAACTGCACTTACTTGAAGCGTGGATCCATTACCTGACATTCTGCAAACAAAATTTTATTTTGATCCGAAGTTAAAGAATAAAAATTACGCCATATAAATTCCACCAAAGTTTTATATTATGAAAAAGAAGCACACAAAAATTCATGGGCGAAGTTAATAAAAAAAAGTTAGGAAAGAAGTTCTACATCAAAATCATCAAACTTCTTATCATGGAAAAATGGAAAGCAGAAAAGCGATGAAGCAACTGGGCAATATGACGGAATTTTTTCCTTCTGCTATGTCTTTATGGAGTCATTATTCCATTCCCTTTGACTAGAATGATATCTTGAGTCTATTTCCATACGATTAAAAAAAAAAAAATGGAAGAACCTCTTCCGATAATAACACACTGTTAAAATACATAAACCATAACATTTGATTTCAACAATTGCAAAAAATGATTCGTTCAAGTTGCCCATTCAAATATATGACGAATGAAATATCTCTTAATCAGTGGGAAAGAATATAATGTAAGTAATAAGCAATTTTGTTACACAGATAAAAATAAGCTGCATTCATTCGGATGCCCACATATTATGCGAGTTCCCTTGTAAAGGGAGGATTGAACAATGAATTATTTATTACCACTGGAGAACAAAGAAAGAAGTTAACAGCCTGAAACTGACATGTCGTCGAGAGTACTACGAATCAGTTGGAAAGGTAGGCCATATTAAATCATAGACATTATATAATCGTGACCATCTCTTGTTAAGTAACAGTCAGTTTAAAAGTCATTGTCTCTGAATCTTATCTTGCTTTTTTTTTTTATTCAAAGCTTGTACCCTAATTTCGAAGTCTAAAATAAACAGAAACGAAACTGGAAAGCCGGAAACAAGGAAATACAACAGGAACCGAAGAAAAAATAGCAACCGGCAAGACAGAAGCCAACTGGCTCGGAGAGCCGGGAAAAACCTGGTACAAAGCGGGTCTAGGTGGTTTGCATTGTATTATTACTACCGGGTCTAAATGAAAATCACTATCCTCTTCCGTTTTTCGTTTCAAAAGCTCAGCAAGACGACATGCTACAGGCAATTGTGATAACTGTTGATTTTGGAAACCCGGAATAAGGAGGATGATGTTATATGCCTATATGGAAATGTGATTATTATTATTATGAGAGAAACTGGACAGAGCAAATTCTGGGTGACCTACATGGACACACCGGTTCATTCTCGAGATAATCGATGGCAGGAAGATTTTGGTATTTGCTTCATTCTGTCATACACTTACTTCGTCCTACTACTTTCATTCCTACCGTTCCAAATGGCACGATAGGTTAATAAATATCGTCATTTCCTTGTCACGGTTACGTTTTGGTCCATCTTCAAGCTACATTTGATAGATGTCAATACGCTTATTGTATACTTTTATCCTATCCTGAACTCTAGTCATCTTGATCATTCGAGAAACCACCATATTGTTCTGTTTCTGTCTCCTTGTTCCTCATCTTCAGTAGTCCGAATGACTTTCTGATGGCAGTTTGGTGCAAAACGGATTTGAAGAGACGGGTAGCATTTCCTAGTAAGTTCTGCTCACATCCGCCATCTCCATAATCATTAGGGTCCAAGTTCATTGAGGATCCGGCTGTTTGGTCCCAATTATATTTCCAAGATGCGAGCAATTCTGAGTGGCGTTCTTTGGAAATCTGTCAGCGAAGAAGACAGTTCGTTTACTTCCTTAAGTGGATTATGTACAAAGGTAAGACTCGTTGATATTTCAAACGTGTAGGAGTGTGCAAGTCACACTGCATGACGTGACAGAGAAGGGATTGCTTTTGAAATTGTTTTGCGATTGCACGACATGTCGAAAAAGCCACAGTCGGGTTCCTTCAGTCTCGGAAGTTTGAGAATGAATGGGATGAACTGACTTGCTTATTTTTATTTTTCTCTCAATATAAAATGTTAATATTTCCGTCTGGATATGCTGAGAGATGGCTGAAAACGAATTCTTCTTTTGAAACAGATCAAACCAAGATCACAGATTATAAGTTAAAGGGAACGTCATTCAAGAAAAGAGCACACCTAGCACATAATACTGCTCATTGATAAGTCATGATGTTTCTGGAGGGCGCCAAATTATCAAGGTTTAAATTAGCGCGAGCGAAGAGTGGGCTCCCACAACAGTGTTCTGTTCAGACCATCCTATACTGCGCCGCTCCTCAGCCAAGCTTGTCCTTCCTGGTATCCATTTATCAAAACACAGTGACTACAGCCATCACTATCACCGCCGCTGCAACGCTGCGGTAGCCGGAACGGCAATGCACCTTCAATATGTATATGTAAGAGGAAGAAAGGAGGGAGCAAAAGATAGGAATAGTGTTAAAAGAGAGAGGAAGAAGAGGAACGGAACATACTTCACTACTTCTGCATTAATCGCAGACTGCAAGAGTTGGCTGCAGGGT